TGAAGTTTTGGACAGAAAGGATAATGGAGATAGACGCGGTGGAGAAAGAGGGGCCGAGCCTGGGCCTGATTCTTGAGAAAACACCAGAGGTGATAAGCATACCGCGCTCAAACAAGAGAGTTGAAGTGAACATGGGCGGTGGAGATGGCTTGTTAACCACGAACTTGGGAGTGATATGGAAGCTACTAAGACCCTCCTGGTGTCCACATCCCCATGCGAGTCTAATCGAGGAAACCACCGAGCGAGTGAGGTTAGCACCAACGGAAGATGAAGATCTGGCGAAGTTGAGTGTGCTACATAAGCTAATCACACCCCAGATGCAAGAGCCAAGCGAAAGGACGAGCGACCCCGGGTCAGCAAAGAAATTGGAGCCGGGTAGCTGTCTGGATTCGACGTGTGGGAACGGAGAGCACATCTGCGATGGACGGTCATGCGTCAGAATACTGTCGTTTCAAAAAGAAGACCTGGTCACTTGGTTCGAAGACATCACAGAAAGGGAGAAAAGTGAAGTGCAAATAATAGCGGAATGTTACGCGAGAACCACGGTGAATATAGCGACAGCTCTCGGATTCTTCTCGAGAATGTGTGGTCTGCAGGCACTGGAGAGACTGGAGTCTGAACATCATTTAGTGACGGCGTTGAGCGTAGAATCATGGCCCGGGGTGTTGCAGGTGACTCAAAAACACATCCGGAGCTGGAAAGTTGGTCTTGAGGCGGAAATGGGATTTCCCCTGAGCGAAGCTTATGGCTTGCCATTGAACGCGAAATCGCTGATAGGGTCAATGATGGCCAACTTGTGCGGAAGTCACTACCCGCTACACATGGCGATGGTGGAAGTGTCCAGCCAGAGAATACTGGTGGACAAGGCCTTCTCAGTGCCCAAGTGCGTGAGGTTGGCTCGGATGTCGCATCACTCGCACAAGTTGTTGAGAAAAATCAAAGGGACAGTACCAAAAGAATTGAGAGATGACTTAAGCGAAATCTGGGGAGAAGATCTTCTGAAGTTGGAAAGAGAAAACACAAGCGATCACGAGAGACAAAACGTGATCGGGAAACCTGTGGGAAGTACTCCGAACCTGGAAGACAACGACACGATGTACGAGAAAATGATGGAGCTTGAGCCTCTCTTGGAAGCCTCAGGGGAGCGTAATCTCAGGAGCATTGAGATCTCTCATGGGGAATGCCCATGCCACTGTTTGGCACAAACGGTGTGGTATCCAGATCACAAGAACCTTTGCCTGGTGTGGGATGTGGAAGAGATTCGGTCGATCGGACTACCGGATCACCGGCAGAAGGTGACGCTCTTAGTAGTGAGTACGATGTTAGCTCTGAGATGGATAGAAGAGAATATAACGAAGTATCGGGAGGCGACGACGCCAACGGCTGAGTCAATATACGCGATAGACTACAGCAGGAGACTCGAGTTGTTTGAGACTGCGTGCAAAGTATTCGCCATACCGACGGAAGTCAGGCACGTATGGAGTCGCTTGAGGTACTTTCCATGGTTTCGGGCGACACTGACGTCTTGGTTGTACAGGGCAACGAAAGATCACATGAGAAAACATCAAAGGGAGTATCGACAGTTCCAGGCCGAGATTGGGCCGGAAGCTTTCAAGAGACCCCTGCTAACCCATCGTAATGCGATCACGACGGGATGGAAGAGAGTGGGTAAGATGTCTAGAGACAATACCAAAGCGAGGGAGTCGATACTAGAGGAAGACCTGGCGAAGAACGTGAGCTTGAGCCTGCACAACTCCTTTTGCTTGAACCGAGAAGCTAGGGTGAAGGCACTACCCAACCAAGCAAAGAGATTGCAGGAGCAGAGAGAATGGATGCGATCCTATGAACAGCTGAAGGCTTGGGAGGAGATTGTGATTAGTTCCGATGATGAAGAGGAACTTATGAGACAGTTTGCCGCATCTAGCACTTCAGGATGCAGTACCTCCAAGGCGAAGAGTACGAGATGAATGGGCAAATCGGATGGATCTTGAGTCTTGAGAGGGAAAGGGGGCTTGAGTGTGAATCCGAGTGAAACTTGGATTCACGAAAAAGAAATTTTAACAAAGCAAATATTGTTACTAATATACTATATTTATTATATAAATCGAAATGCTGCATGACAATTTCCTGATTGAATAGGACAAAAGAGATTTTAAAATGATTGGCTTGAAAAGCGAAAATTCAAGGGTGCAGGTGTGTGCAGATTTTGATTGCTGTTTAGCAATAGTGTGAAAATTTTACATGGCTGTGAATTTTGGGGTGTAGATAAGCTTAAGTCTGCTGCAAACTTCTGTAAATGACCACTGGCACTGTATCTTGAGCAACACTCGGTTTTCTGGGACTCACTGGCAGAAGACAGCACGCGATGAGGACATCGATCTCGAGTCCGGGGAGTATGTGCCAGTCGGTCATATTTGGAAGTTTGACCTTGAGAAGAGCAGAAAACACTTGATTTTGTAGTGAAATTTAATTTTTCAAAATTTCGAATGGAACATGTCATGCACGATTTTCTCGCGATAACTGAAAATCAGAAAAAGAAAAGAGAACAATTTTAGAACAATTGCGGGAAAGTTGTCAGATAAAAACGAGTGGGAAATTGCTATTCGCAATTTCCATCATAGTGAACAAGAGTAGAGCTGTCCTATCTGAAATAGAAGACAGAGTATTCCCGAGAGAGTAATCATTCGAACTGGACCAGAGTGAACCTTCGACGGAAAGGTGGACCGCTTGAGTGTCCCAATGGTCCACATAAAACTTCGTTCTTGAGTTCAAACTTACCCTTACCATTCAAACTGATAAACATTGAACTTATCTAGTTACTTTAGTTAATTCTAGAGTTGCTCACCCATTTAATTACTTCCTGTGCTTGAGCGCATCAACATGTGAGTCCTTAATTTAAATTTCTAGAGTGTGTTTTATGATTGTTATGCTGAGGTAAGGCGAGTTTTAGGTTGATCCATCTGAAATGGATCAAAGTTCCACTGTCTAATAAAAAAGCAACTTAACGGATTGTTCCGACCCGGTTTTTAACGGCGTTCATGTATTTTGGGTATCTAGAGACCTAAGTATGGGGACGTTTCTAATTCTAGAGTGGGGGGATATTTTAGTAGTAGCCTTTAAGCTGTAACGGGTCGTAGTCTCATGTCACAAGCGAACCGAACTGGCTCCGACCGTTCTTGAGGTAGAAAAACACAAGAGATAGTGTCCCTGACCCTTGAGCCAGTGGTTATAGGGCCTATTTTCTTAAGCCTCATGTGTGACTGCAGTAGACGAATGTTACATATATATTAAATCCATTGGAAATGGATTGACCCTTTCCTCTTCCTAGCTACTCAACAAGCAATATTGGGGTTAATTCAATCTTTCAGGGCATTAAAGCAGCTAAAAAGTCAGTTTATTACAGTCTCTCAACACGCAACAGTCCTTGGGCACCGGGCCTCCGATTCCGTGTCTTCCCGAAATAACGTTGTTGTTTCTTCAATTTCGTGGCGCGGGAGGGTACTGATCCTTCCTGCTATCCCACTGTAGCCTCCTTTCTTCTTATCGGCTTTCGCTATACGTCTTATCGTGCGTGATCGTCACGATAAGAGACTACGTAGTTTCTTCCGTTTTTTCTTGACCGTTCTTCACTTGTTTGTTCGGTTGTTCTGTTTTTCCGTCAGTTTTCTGCCCAATATGGCCACTCTCTGTATTTCGCAGAAATTTTCCCCCGCATTTCGAATTACTTCTTGAACATTTCGACTCTTCTTCTTGTGATTAGATCTCGATTAACAACGCTTGTGTTATTTTTCTCGCTCGCCGGAGGGTTCAGCTGTGTCAAACGCGGAATGCCACACAAGTCTATCATGTCATGTCAGTATTTTCAGTTGTCGCGAGAAAGTTGAGCATCACAGGTTCAATTCGAACTTTTGAAAAAGTTATTTTTATCCCAAAGCAAGGCTAAACTTCCAGATATGACCGACTGGCACATACTCCTCGGACTTAGTTATGTTACACTTGACTGTAGAATACACTCAAGTAATTCAATTCAATACTCACATATTGACATGACTTTAGAATCAGGTAAATATTGTAAGTAAGATAACTCTAGAAGTTTTAGACAATAACTAGTTTTAACCCAAGTAGTTTTATCGTTTGGGCCATTGGTCAGCTTCACTCGTCGATCTGTCCAATCAAGGTTCTCTCTTGCCGAGCCATGACACTCCCGTAGAATTTAGTGGTGTTCTCTGTCGGGAACAAGACAACTCTACTCGAACAAGACAACTCTATTTCAGTAAATTTGCAAATAGCTGCAAGAAATGAATTTAACAAAATGGAATCTTTAAAGTCTTCGTCGTCAACAATAGCGCAGATATTAGTTATGAAATTGTAGAGAAATCGAATAGCCAAACTGAAGATTTAATATTTAAGGACATAAATATTCAAACGCGCGACAAACTTTTTTGAAGAGAGTTATTAACAAAAATTTGGTGAAAAAGAATTGAATTTTCTGTTTCAGGGCCTATACATCAAGTGTATTTTTTCCATGAAAAATCAGGAAAGATGGAAAACGAGAAAACAAAATAATTTTAACTAAAAAAATTAGCATTTAATTTATCGATCTTTCATATCTAAGGAAAAGGTTTTGCATGAATAACATGAAAATGGTTGAACAGTTGAAATTGAGCCACAATTGATGTCAAGGTATAGTTTTTTCTTTTGTATTTCAAGTTCTACGCGGTTAATCAAAGTTGGATATTCAATTCAAGTTGATTTTTTTTAATGATTGTGAGGTGGTTGCTTCTCCATGGTTTTTCATGGTGTCATCGTATTTCGTCTCGTAGGTATCAGTTCTAGTTCTCCAATTTCTTTTAAGACTCCATTTTAATCCGACCTCAGAAGTTATGGAACATTTTAAATCCGACCTCATTTTGAGGAAAATTTTTTGAAGCCAGATGTTTTTTTCCCAAGTTGAGGAAACAAATTCATCTATCCATAGTTCGATATGTGATTTCAGATAATGCTGTACATATTTAAGTTAATGTCTCCACTAGTCTGGTTTGCCAGTATCTGCTGTGCATCTATATATGACAGCGAGCCAATATTCACCATCAAATGGTTCAACTCAAGAGATTCGTTTTTGGACAGTTATTTTTTTGAAGAAGAAATTAATCAGCTCCCCAAGCATCTGAAGGAAGTTCTTTCCGAAGATTCGGTAGATGACAACCCTGAATCAAAAGCAAATGTCTTGAAGTTTTTTAACAGTTTCGAAATGAAAGCAAAAAATGACGGGAACTACAAATGTTATTTACCAAATGATGGAACAATGGACCAATCAGAAAATACAGGTAATTAGTTTTTGATTTCAAAGTTAAAAATTTGGAGCGGGATCTTGATTGGTTAAATTGAAAAAAAAGAACTTGGAAAAAAATTGAATTGAGTAATATGTAATGGCGCCACGTAATCAAGTGTTATTTGTGTCTGTGTAATTAGAATATGAGGGTCCGGGTCCAATAGAACTTATCGAGGAGATATTTCTATCTGAAGCCTGTTCCTATCTAATCAGCGCTTATTGGATATATCAATTGTGTCATGGCAAAACTTTTCGTCAGTACCACGAAGAGAAACCTAGTCAGGTCCAGGAGTATTTCTTGGGAGCTTTGGAAGGTTTGTGGCAAGGCCAGCAATATACGGATGAGCATTATGGAAAAAGATGGCCTGAAAGTTTGCTGAAAACTCTTCAGTTGGAGGACTCAACGCATCATTACGTTGAGGTTTTGATGTCAGATGGGACCCCCTGTGACATCAAGAACAATGAACCAAGGAGCGTTAATGTCCGCTATGTTTGCCTACCTGGAGCGAGACTGGAGCTGATAGATATCCGTGAGGTCGCATCTTGTACGTACGAGGCAACAGTCACTGCCCAATCATTGTGTAGACACCCCGACTTTGCCCCAATAGGCCGCGAGGAGACCAGGTTGTACTGCGTAGCCGAAGACAAGAACAAACTTGTGAAACTGTAAGTTGGATTCAATATTGAATGGCTCAATGTAGCTTGCGATTAGCAAACCTTGTCAAATCGGAACCTAGATCTTAATCAGTTGATAGTTTACTTGTAAATCATTTCAAATTCAGCGCCTAATGCTGCTCTTATGGCAAAGAGGTAGAACATGTTTTTGGATGAAAAAGATCAAAGGCTGGAGTCCGGCCAGGTATTTTTTTTCATGCTCAAAAGTTTTCATCTTAACTTGCCAAACTCAAAAATTGCCAATATACTATCGTTTGCCTGCTTAATTGACACAACACCTATTTTTCTTATCATAAACAATTTTTCTCACAATTATGTTTTTTGATGTATTCATGCAATGATGCAGGCAAATTCTGTAAAGCAAAATCAGAATGGCGAATCGAGGAAACAAGTGTTACACGTGTCAAGAAAAAATCAAGAAAGAAAAATTTGTGTGCTATTTTTGTCAAAAAGTTCTACACATGACACCGGAATGCACTAATTTTGATCAAAATAGCATAGACGTTTTCATCAAGTGTAAAGCAAACATCCTCAATGTTTGCAACCAATGTGTAAACAAAAAAGAGCGAGACCCAAAAACTGACCAAAAAAACGATTTGACCAAAATCGATACCCAACTAGTTGAAATCAAAGACCAAATGAAGACACTAACAGAGAACATAACCAAATCAAATGCCCTGATTGAAACTGTGAAACTAGAACTCAACGAGGTGAAAAAAACGAAGCCGCAGAACTTCGCCGCATCACTCGGTGCAGTGAAAATGGGCAAAAAGATCGATGCGCCACCACCAGTTCGATCTTCAAGCAACCTTGGAGTTCGCATAAGAGGTGTACCCGAAAACACCACGGGGACTCCCGACGAGCGATTCCAAGCTGACATCAAAGCAGTTGAAAAAATACTTGTTTTCCTCAATATTGATGACAAAAAACTGAGCAAAATCCAGCGCAAAGGCAGAAATGATCCAGACCGGACAACCCATCGCACGCTTATTGTAAACATGGAAAACATGCTCAGCAAAGAACTCGTGATGAAATCTGCCTTCCGGCTGAAAGATTATGACCAAGCTGTGTTCATTAGTCGAGAACTGTCAACATCAGACACCAAACTTGAAAACGATTGCCTACGCAAAAGGCGATTCTTAATCGAAGATAAACAGATAGACCGAGAAAATATCAGAATCCGTAACTTGAAACTGGAAACCAAATACGATGATAAATGGGTCGAGTATAGTGAAAACAAGGACACAGCTACAGAAAGCGAGTCCGAATGACTAAGTCAAATCAATCTTCTATCCTTCAATGTGAGAAGCATTCTGAGTCTCCAAAGACGAATGGTCTTCTCTAACTCTATATCTAAAACCAACTATGACTTAATTTGTCTATCAGAAACATGGCTCACCTCCGAAATTCCTAACAGCGCTCTCTTTCTTCCGGCCTACACAATATACCGGAAAGATCGTGTATGTGAAAACTTCCGATCAAAACACGGAGGAGTCCTCATAGCGATAAAAAATCAAATCCCTCATGAAGAAGTAGTTCTTCACAACTGTAAAAATGATTTAATGGTATTAAGACTTTGTACAACCCCGAAGCCCACACTAGTGTGTGCAATATACAACCCACCGACAAATAGCCCTTACCAATGGTCTTTCCAAGACTTTGTGCAGTTTTTTAATAGCCTCGAAAGTCATACCAGTGAAATAAGTTACGATCAAATCATCATAGCTGGGGATATCAACTTTTCGAAAACAAATTGGAGCGACATGAGCTCAAATGACGAATACGAAAACGGTATATTAGAAATTCTTATTGAACATAATTTTTCCAATATATCAGAATCTCAGTTAGATGTCATCCTGACGAACAACCCCGACCCAATTACAGACTGCAAAAAGGACCTAGACGTCCTAAGCAATTTTAGTATCAATAACAAACCTTGCTCGGACCACAAGCCAATAAACACAAGCTTTATTGCTTGTAAAAATTCTATCGTAATTCCATCCATAACAAAATATGCTTTTAAGAAAGCAAATTGGGATGAAATTAACAATGTTATCCTTACTTTTCCTTTTGACCCCTACTGTTATAGCAATGTCGACTTTCTAGTCAAACAATAGTATAACTGGATAGAGGTCATAATAAACAACAACATACCCAAAGTCACGAAACATCGATCGTCACTTCCACCCTGGATCTCAAAACAATCTTCTTTTCTAATAAAGAAAATAGCAACGAAAAAGCGTCAATGGCCAAACCCAAACATACAAAGATCTATAAAAATCAAACGATTGGAAAAACAGTTAAGCTCCTTAATCGATTCTGATCTATGTTGTTTTGAAGCTGATATATTCCAAACACGACGTTTTAGCAGCATACAGAAATATCTGTCGTCAATAAGAAAAAATCCATCAATACCCCCAATAATAAAGCTCAACGAAACGATTGCGGAGTCAAGCGAAGACAGAGCAAATCTTTCTAACTCATTTTTTCAATGTGTTTTACAAAAAAAAATCAATAACGCCAGATCATACCAAAAGAGAAGTTAACGATATACAAATTACGGAAAAGAAAATCGAAACCGTGCTTGAAAGTTTACAGCTGAACAAGTCAACAGGACCCGATAATATTGGTAATATCGTCCTCAAAAATTGTTATAAATCCCTGCCGAAATCACTCCTTCTGCTTTATAAAACAGTAATGAATAAAAGTGTGTATCCGAGTTACTGGAAGATAAGCCAGGTGTCGCCTGTATTCAAGGAAGGAAACAAAGCAGATGTTAGCTGTTATCGTCCGATAAGCCTATTGTGTTGTATTTCAAAAGTGTTCGAAAAAATTCTTTTTGATCAATTGTATGAACATAGTTGCCACAAACTGCATGAAAACCAATTTGGTTTTCGCAGACAAAGGTCAGCTGTAGTCCAACTATTGCTCTTTTTAGACTCTGTATACAAAAAGTTCGACGACAAAAACATAAAAGAATTGGCAGTCATTTATCTAGACTTTGCAAAAGCATTTGACAAAGTTGCGCATCATTTGCTTATCGATAAACTTAAAATATTTGGAGTGGACGGAAAACTACTTAATATCATAATTTCATATCTCGATAAACGCAAACAATTCGTTAAAATTGAAAACGCCTCGTCTAATCTAATACAAGTCAGCAGTGGAGCACCCCAAGGCTCTATCCTAGGTCCGTTACTCTTCTTAATATTCATCAATGATCTACCCAACGCAAGCCCTCACCTTGAAAGTTATGGTTTTGCCGATGATTTTAAACTAATTGCTCTGAATGAAATCGACCTAAGGAATGGCGCTCGGGGACTTGAAAACTGGTGTTATGAAAACTTAATGACGACAAAGACGAGTAAATGTAAATTACTAAATTTAAGAGGAAATCTATCCACCAAACTGAACGACACCGAACTTCATCCCACGAATGTTCAAAAGGATTTGGGCCTCTTAATAACCCCAAATCTTACATGGAACGAAAACTGTAAAATGCGTGCCCAAAAGGCAACAAGGGCCTTTTTCCAATTAAAACGAAACATATCCGCTACGTGCTCATGGGTTAACAAACTCCACTCGTTAACAAACTCGTCCCGATTATAACTTACTGTTCACAAGCTTGGTCACCAAGTAGAGCCAACTTAGGAAGCTTCGAACGAGTACAAGTAATGGACACAAAGTGGATTCTTAATTGCAATCTTGACTACAAAGGAAGACTAGTCAAACTTAAATTACTGCCATTATGCCTCTACGTTGAAATGCCTCTACATCTTCTCATGTATTTATCCTTAGTAAATTCCAAATATGACATATCAATTGCTGTTGAATCTTCTAAGGAAGAAAAAACTCGCCAACACAGCAGAGGAGAACATGCAGTCAACAAAAACAGACTGAACAAATCAGACGAAAACTTTTTTCACAGAACGAAACTCTTACACAACATCTTCATCAAACACTACGAAGAATATGGGAACCAACTTGACAAAAAATCAATAAGCAAACTTTATTGGGATTACTTTGTCAGAAAATTCAATTATCTAAACAGATGCACTTGGGGACTTATCTGCAAATGCATTCACTGTAACAACTGGAAAAAACTCAAACTTAACTTGATGAAAACATGTAAATGACGGGACTCATAAACCCTTGGGAAGCGTGACTTCCCAGAAGCCTCAACTACTACTACTACTACTACTACTACTACTACAATAGACTTCCAATAAATTTTGCTGAAACATTAATTTAAAAAAGTTTCGACATACAATTTTTGGTAATTTAAAAGTTTTTTCTTCTTTATCCCCTGATTTCTAAAAGCATGGTGTGGTACATTGTCTCAAGTTTTTAGAAATTATGATATTAATCTGATGAAAATTTAAATTATCCAATTTCTTTTTTTTTTGAATTTGATCCCTTCACCTGTTTCGAGTTTGTGAATCCGGGAATGGCACGCTCGTGTCTACTATTGGATTATTTTGAAAATTAGTAAAATGTCGCAGCTTCTGAATTTCAATGAAATTTAACGCGATAAATATTTTCCGAAGGTGGGAAGTTGAAAATAACTCAAAAACAGTGCATAACTTTTTAATTACTGGATCTATTTGATGTCATTGACATTTTCCAGCTGTCTGTTGAATCTAATTTTACAGTTGTTATTCTCTCCTAACACAAACAAATCATACGCTCAGCTTTGTAACGGAATGATTTTTTTTTGGTTTTTGAAGATACCAAGTCCTGATTTGAAGATTGCTCCAAATATTTGCTTGCGTTCGGGTCCTGTGTGAAAGGTTCGCGTTTGTTGATATTTGTGTAGTCCAAAAGCTAAAGGTATCATTTTTACACTCGATTTTTTGGGCCAAAGTTTTCAAGTAATGCATTTCGCCTTAAGGTATTTTTGTTGCCGAGTTAATTTACAAAGTTAGTGAGTTTTTCTTGCGCTTTTTATGTTGAAAAAGATAAAAATAGGAGAGATAGGATAGGCATTTTTTAAATAGAAAACGAAGCAATTTTTTCATTCGGTTCATTTTTATTGCGTATTCAGCTTATTTTAATGAGCAACCTCGAGTTTTTTAACGTCATTGATTTGGCCCGAAAAATGATGATCTCGCAAAGTTTACGTTAGATTTGCCTGAGTTTTTTTTTCATTTTGATTTGCTTTCGAAGCTTGGAAAAAGACAAAATTTGAAGTTCAATCTCTTCGGTTCCCTGGGAGAGATCCCATTTTTTCCAGGGCAGAAGCGGCAAATTACAGGGATGACGATGTATTTTTAATTACTTTTTGGACAGATTTTACAGCCAAACGTATATTTTTGTCCAGCACGACGGCTAACCAGGTTTAAATCCTGATCGGAGACAAAAATTTTCCTTGGTTTTTTTTCTTCAAATTGCGTATGAAGTGAATTTAATCAGTTTTTTCTTTTTCACCAAATCACAGCTCTGGTCTAATGTATCTGTCGCGCGCTTACATGCTAAGCGGGCAGTTTATAACCTCATTGTAAGAGAAAACATTTTGAGTGACTTCATATCAATACATTAATTTCCTTTTGATTACCATCAACTATACAAACAACTGTACACGCATACAAGGCTGTTTTGCGTCCCCACAGGAACTTGAGCGGAGCAGAGCAGCTGTTAAGACGGTGTTCCACTTATTCTATGGTCAATCGTTTATATCCCCTAGATTTTTAGTTTTTGCTTTAATCACTTTGAGCGTGTTTGGCTTAGACGGTAACACGATTGACTGTTGAGCAGGAGTTAACGCTTCTAATCGAGGGAAGAATCGTGTGGAATGGAATGGCATTACAGAGATGTAAATTTGAGGCAAAAGTTAGGTACAAATAGAAAAAAAAAACCTAGAACCCTGATTAGTTTATGATCCTTGAATGGTTAAAGATCTTTGATCCTTCCCTAGCCTCTGTTCATTGAAAACATTCCTTTCAAAATTTTTAAAGGATCTTTTTTCTTCCAATCAGAGCGACAATGTTTGATGTCAAGTTTCCATATTTGCGTAAAGTCCAAATGAAAAGTCCATTGTATATTCTGCTTTGTCAGCTTTATTAGAGTACATTCATTGCAATCTGGCAATTAATTGTCAAGTTAAATTTATTTCATAAATAAGGACATTGTTTCTCATGCGTGCAAAGTGCATCGTCATCGCATTGTAAAAACTTTCATGCTCATTTTTTGCCCACTGTATACCCTTGCGATAGCAGTTTGAGTTTTGAAGCTCGCATATGAATTTCGCCAGTGCGACAGTTCGTAACAAGCGACCATTCGTAACAGGCGACAATTCGTAACAAGCGACAATTCTTAATAGGCGACAATTCGAAACAAGGCATTGGCTAGTAGATTATGCTTGCTCCGCTGCGCTTACATACAACACGAGAGGACTACTTCGCGTGAATCAGTGTTCCTCGCTCAATCTACTGTTACGAATTGTTGCTTGTTACGAATTGTCGCCTGTTACGAATTGTCGCCTCACGATGAATTTCGTTTCCTGCGTGGATCTGAAGTTACGCTTCCGATAACTAAAATAGAAATGACGAACAAAATTTGTGGCCTTATCGCGTTTATTTTCCTGTTCAGTAAGTGTACTTGCAGGTATTATTGGTTCATTCATATAATTTGCAAATATATTAGCCCTGACTTAATTTGTTGATTTTTTGCCTTACAGCTTTCTTCGGCCTAAATACTTTTGTTTTGGCTCATGATTTATCGAATTAGTCAAAATTTTTTGTGTCGTTAGAAGGGAAAAAGTTCATTACTTGCAATTAATTTAAATTGGTTGTGATGTAGAATTTCAAAGTTTTAGTACTTACTCGATCAAATTGTATGACATCTTCAAGTTTTGTCAACTTATTAGCCGCTCGGTAGATACTAAAAGCAAATTCAATGCTGATGGTTGTTTTTCTCGGCTGTTTTTTGTGATATTGAATTTTCGTTTTTTTTTTTCAAAAAAAATTACATTTAAAGAGATTTCTGTCGCATCTTTTGTTCGCTAGCTTGCAATGCTACATACTTGCGTCGCATCGAAGAGAATTTTCGCTTCGTCTCTGTCATAAAAACATAAAATTTTTCTGATTTCTGTTAGGCCCACGACCTCTTCGCACAGCTTCAAAATAATTATGGGAGACGAAGTACATCAAGAGCCTTTCCCAAGTGCATTTAAACCCAAAGTTTCTATCGAATCCAAAGTTGCTCAGCAACTGAGAACGGTTGCAGCAGACGACGTGGAAGTTGAAGAAGAGGAGGAAGAGGCCGATGATGATGATTCCTATCGAAAAGCGATAGCTTCAACTGTTTTCAAATCCAAAGATGGAGCAATGTTGAAGCGTAAAGATCATAACGTCGGTCTGCCCCCGCTATTTGACGAAGATGTGCATGACGTCACCATTTCGAGACAACTGAGGCAGTTCGTCGATGCCACTGAGTGTGTGAAGGGGGGTAGGGGTTGGTGGAAGCACGAATTCTGCTATCAACAACATATCTATCATTTGCATTATGAGACAAACCCTCAAACTAAACAATCTTATGTGCAAAAACGAATTGTCCTTGGGATGTGGAGCAAAGATGAACATATCAAATGGACGAAAGGGCAGCCGAAAGAAGCATATCGCAATCTTGACGCGAAAAAATCAACAGTTACTCTATATTACGGACAAGGCGATATATGCCACGAAAACAATGATTATAGACATACGTTGGTAAAATTGAGATGTTCGCCTAGTACCAAAAGCACAGCTAGTATTTCAGTATCATTGACTGAACCAAAACTATGCAGTTATATTATGACAGTCGATTCAGGTATGTTTTGTGATCTTTTGAAACATGTAGATGAATATGGAATTCCAATTAGAGGCCAGTAAGTCGACCATTTTTGCTGTTTAATGCTTGTAATTTCAAATCAGTTTGCACTGGTAAAACAAATAACGCCGGAAAACAGAAACAGATTAAGATTATTATGTGCACTTACAGTTATACTGTTTTATAAGATGAATCGATGCTTTTCAATACAAAAACTGCCAAATTCAGGCACCTCTTAATGTTTGGCATTGTTTAAAGAAGAGCTAATACATCTCACCAATTCAGAAATAAGCAAAAGTTTTGGTAACTATAAGTAACAGTAGTTATAAGTAAGTAAAAACAAATTCCTGGGTAGGAATTATTTCGAAATTTATAGCCGGTTATCGATTCAGAAACATCTTAATATGAATTTCGATATTTTTCCCACCTTTAAACCTGTGGAGCCTCCCATTTCAGTACTATTCTAGGACATCTAATTTTTACTCACAGACTCTTAAATTGTTGTAAAGGCGCTAGTAGTATTGTTATTTCACACTAGGATGGGGGGAGCGGGTGATCACCCGTAGGGGTCATTGGGTTTAGTGCATCAATAGGAATCACTAATGAGCCCATGTATAAAAATTTTTGGCAATAATCTCTACTCTATGTACTTCTAAGGATCTCAACTATAAGTTTTTGTGGGAATGACCCTTAGTTTTTTGCTATATAGTTTGCAAATAAGTGCCATTTAGCTGTTAACTATTTAGAGCAAAGAGTGACTCAAAAAAGTGGCATATCTCCTAATCCCGTAATAGTATTTAGGGGTAGCAAAAAGTGCCACTAACATCAAACTTAGGGTTTTGTTGGGAAAGGTACCACACAGTAACAAATTTGGGGTAAGACTAAAAACCTAATTATTATAAATTTGGGTGTAAAGAACAAAAATTGGGCTATCCTACCTGTGTACCCTATGTTTAACTTTAGTACCCTATCCAAGTCGTTTTCTGAATAGGATCATTTTCAAAAAAACGACGCGGAATTTTATATAATCAGAAAACGGTCGCAGAAAGCGACTTGGGTCTGAGTGTAATTAGAAACCGATCCAAAAAACAACTTTTGGTCGATACCTGTGTTGGACTTGGAAAATGGCAGAGTTTTTCCAACAAACGACTTAGGGCTAAAATAACACGTGAATTGGTCAAAAAATCATACGAAAACCGCTAAAAGCTATGAAAACTGGTCAGAAACCTCATAAGTTACCAAAACTCTCAGGGAAACCACCAAAATTTCACAAAAAAAAACACTACAAATATGAAAAACAAGTAGCGTGATAGAAAATTGGTGGGAAACACCAAAAAAATGGCCCAAAAATTCAGGAGAAGCAAAAAAACCGCTAAACTATAAAAATTGGTCCAAAACCCTAAAAGATGCCAGAAAATCTATGGAAACTACCAAAAACACCAAAATAAACGGTCGGAAAAAAAAACAGAAAATTGGTCAAAGAATCGTAGAGAAATCGATAAAAGCTATGAAAATTTGTCTGACACCCAAAATGATGCCGAAAAACTCAGGGATTACCCAGAACTCGAAAATTGTCAAAACCAACGTGAAGTGGTCAGAAAAATTTGAGAAAGGAAAATTATCATTAACAGTTCTAATTACCAAATGTTGTCAAAAAAACTCGGGAAATATAGAAGAAACCTCTTAAATCATATATAAACTGCTGAAAGCTGTGAAAAAGGGTCTGACACCAAGAAATTGTCAAAAGTCTGGAAACTACTAAAAACACCAAAAAAAACCAAAATAGGTAAACTGAATAGGTCTGGAAAATAGGTAAAATAGGTAGCCGATTACTGTGCAATTGGCACAATGTTCCGACCATAGTCTTAAAAAAATACAACAAAGTTATTTCAAATTTTTGTCGTTTTCTATATCGGCGTGGTGTGATCAAAGGAGCTGAACAAAAAAACTTGAGATTAAGTGTATTCGACAGTCATACTAAAATAAGCAAATTGAAAAAAAGTTACTTGAAAGATGAAAAAATCAAATTGTCTGGAATTAAAGGCAAGTAATGACACTGTACTACCTCTTTAAGAGCTTATATAACCATAACAATTCCAATTTTTTTGTCTCTGGAAATCTTGTGTTGTGTTTTACATAATTCAGCCTAGCAAAAAATATATATTTGTCAAATTTGATTATTAATTTTTGGAATGACGTGAAATTACTTGATAATGATCTCAGAGGGTCGATAATGACTATATATATATATATCCTCTATAGGAGCTAAAACAAACACGAATCGTATCCACGAAAAAATTTATTCTACGACGCAACTATTCAATTTAGAATTTTTGTTTTGAAAAATCGAATGTGCAATTGAATATTGTCGGGTCGGTGTTTGAGTTGTTCTGAATTACAAATACGATGTTTTTAGACCCAATGCTTTTCTTTTTAGTTATGTTAATATTATATTTACTGTTTTATCATAAGGTTTGTGGGGGCAAAAATCAATTTGCGAACTGATTTGGATTGCAATCGTTTCATTGTTTTCTCAGTGTAGAATAAAATGTCTGGGATCTATGAAGTATTATATATTCTGTAAATTTATTTTGGTTTTCAATAGAGATTTAGTATCTATGTGACTTACATAATATTGATGTTTATTCTCACAGCAATTCAAACTACGCGGTAGAATGAAGATAGTTTTTTCAGTTATTTCGAATGATATTTTCAAATGACAAGATCTAAGAACTGCGACTAAGTTTTTAGGCTAGCTGAATATTCCGTCATGACTGGAAAAGTAGATTCAATTTTCGCCACTTTCATACGGAGATCCACTTTCATACCGTGCAGAGAATTTGGACTATCGCCCGATTTTCTGGAGCTGAATCGAAGAGTCGAACCGACGCCACAAGTGCCGGATGAACTGGATTGTGAATTGCAAGTCGACGATAAAACGACTGATCTCGTTTTCCAAGATGATAAAGTATCTTATAAAAGTTTCAAACAGCTGGACGAATCGATAGAAGCTGACTCGACTCTGGAAGATATTAAAAATGAAACCAAAAATTTAGATGTGACTTTGTGTGACGGCGAGAAATCAACTGTTTATGACAAAGTGGTAGATACGAAGCAGGAGACGAGAAGTTTCACGGCAAATGACGACGGGGACGAAATAATTGACTCTAACGCATACATGGAGGACCAATTGTGCACAGGTAGAAATTAGAAGCTAATTCATTGCGTAGTTTTCAGTACGTCAGAGGGATTTTTTTTATATTGCTCGGTCAAATAGACTGGTTTATGAAACTTATACTGAATTTGTTGATTGATACAAAAGAATGTATTGATTGATACAACCAAATATGACGCGATTTTTTCGATACTCTGACACTGTTGATTGTTTCGAAACTCCAACAGATTGTATCAGATTATTAACAGGTGGTGATTTTGGAACGGACAGTGACTTTGAGCTAAGTGCGAGTAGTTCAAGTGGCAGAGGAGGATGTGGGGGAGGTCGGGCTAAAAAGACGAAGCTGAGGCAGAAAGTGTTGATTCAGCAGACCAAATGCACATCTGAGAGAAAAATGAGTGGGAAAGACGGAAGAGATGATCACGTGTATTTGGAAAGAGTGAGGGTGTTGCGAGAAGTGTTGCCGACTCAGTTTAGAACCTGCTTTCTCTGTTCAATGTTAGAGTCTTATATCTTCTACGTGTCCTCTTTTGGGGGTTTTCTCTTTTTATTGAGTAATTAGGTTTTCCAAGATTCATTTAAAGCTGAGGTTTTCTAATCCAAAATTGATCTCCAAAAACACAACATAAGTTCACTGCTTATTTTACACAAACAGTTTCGACCGTTTTAACTTTTTCAAATCAATTAATAGCCAACCACCAAATGCCATAAAAGGTTGGAAGATCTAGTTAGAGGTCTAAAGAAGGCGTTGTATTTAAATCAGAAAACAGGCTGGAATATGATTTTAAAAGGTTTGGGCTCCTTATTCACGGAAAGCACTCATTTTATTTGTTTTGGAAATCATAAAATTCCGAAGAAGTTTTTATGTTAAAGATTACTTGAAAACAGTTTCAGCTTCATCCGTGTGAATGTTGAAAGTGTTCGTCGCCAATTCAAAATGTCGGTTAATTTTTATAAATTTTAGTCAGCTACTTTTATTTTTGAGCAATTTGAATTGTGTTTTTCAAATGGACATCAGTTTACAAGGTTTTATTTTTGTTTTCTCAAGATCATAAATTGGCCGATAAATGGCTTTGCCTACCTGACTGGCAATTGATTCATTCTTATTCGTTAATGTGATTTTTCTGGGCTTAAAGAAGATAAGTGTTCTTGGTTTAAGGAAGATGATTTTCTGGGTTTCAGTGGCTCTGAGTTCTTAGCTCTGGTGAAATGCACAGTATGTAACAACGTCTTCCATTCTGTCTGCTTGAAAGAAGCAGATATCTCAGAAACACCGGATTGCTGCAAAGACTACCCGAAAAGTGTAGCAGCTCAGGTAATGTTTCAAAGTTCGGCTCTTTTTTGTGTTCAGAATTGGAAATTTTCACAGTCTTTTGTTCGGTTTAGAGTAAAGAAGTGTGTGGTTTGAAACCATTTTTGAAGAGGGGCAGAGATAATTTCAAAACTAATTTCGTACCAACAGCGAAAAGGTAAACAATTTTGTTTTCGTTTTGATTTTTTAATCAAGCTGCTTCATACATTTTCATCATACGCTATCTTTAGAAAACTAATGCATAAGTGTTCTGATAATTTTCAGGTATTTGACAAAGAAACAACTTCAAAATCTTCTCGACGAAGACCCAAACATATGCTATGTTGAGGTTCCTGCTAATATCAAGAGGCAATATAATCAGCCTAGTTCAACAGGCTGTCAATTGTACTGCAAGGACAAGGTGATGTTTCCATAGTTCAAGTTTTGATTGTAATCTCTGTTCTTTTACCAACGACCTCGTAAAGTTCAAATAAGTTTTTTAACAATGCTAATCTCATAGTTTTCTTGTGAGGAAAATTTTGCTCTTATTTGTTCACTTATTCACATTCACTTGTTTTAATTTGATTTTTTACTGCAAAGGCATTTTTGGAAGTAGTTTTTTCTCAAAAACGTAATTGTTTTCTGCAAAAAAGTCGAAAACGTCGGTCAAATTTTTATCTAATGTCTTAACTAATGTTGTGATAATTTGTTGTTGTATTTACCAGACTCATCTGAAAACTGAAGCATTGGAATTAAAAAGGAAGATGTGCGATGATCAGAGCAACACAGAAAGCTTGAATTGGAACGCAAGAAACTCTGTTAATATTTCGCAGGTAATGGTTATGGGTCTAGGACAACAAGCCGACGGGACTTCAAGCCGAAGGGACTTCAAGCCAAAATTAAAACTTTACAAGCACCTCAAAACACTATTTTATCATCTGTAAAACGTTATTTTTCAAAAATTTTGGCAAGTTTAGCCAATAATAAACGTTATTCATGACAATGCACCGCTTGTGATTGGCATCCGTTAATAACATCAGCCGGTTTTTGAAATGCATAAATTATAAACGTGAAAAATGCCTTCAACCATGTTTTACTTTCCGAAACATCATTTGGAGGCTTAAATTTTATGAAAACTCCAATAACTTGTGAAGAAAGATCATGAAATTCGGAAACTCTTCAAAATCGTTTTCAAATTAATCATATTTGACTAGTTTATAAGGAACTATTCGGCTTGAAGTCCCTAAGTTTACGATTCGGCTTCAAGTCCCGTCGGCTTGATGTCCGGCACCCAATGGTTATATCACTAATAGCCAAGTGTGTAAATAAAGCGGCGGTAGTAAAATGAGACCATGTCATCAATCCCCCTCCCCCTAAAATTATATGGCAAGTTCAACAAGTAAGACCTGCAGGAACAATATTCAATTCAAAATCTTATTGGCTGAAAAGTATTGCTTTAAACCAAGTCAACGAGCTCCTCCCTAATTTGTTCAAGGGGGGGATTGTTCACTTGGTACGTTTAATGACTACCATTCGTCATACAATCCCGGAATTAGTGATTGAAGAACAGAATGATGAATCTATATCTTTTATGATATCAGCTCATGCGTTGGTTGTTTTGATTACCTGAAAAGGTAATGATACAATAAGCAAAGACGTAATTGGTCGTTTTCGATGTTTCTGGAACCTGATCTAAACTACATTTTATGATTGGATAAATTAGATATTTTACCAATGTAAAGTATTTAATATTAACCAATCATGATCCATCTAACTAACAACCCACTTATTTGTAAGTGCTGAAGTTACTTGTAATTTCAGCACCAGAGAGATTTGAATTTAACTTAGAAATTAGTTGGACTCTCCCGAGCACTTCAGCAACCGCAATAAACCAGTATACCCTAGATCTATTGAGCCTAGCAGAGACTAGTTAAACAACCTGAGACTAGATAGTATAAGAGTAAGATTAGGATCGGTATTAGACTAAGAAGTTGCACGAATCTATCCGGCCGAAAATAAGATAGCGTGACGAGCAGACGGTGTACCCTATCCGAAATTACTCTATGAGTTATACACTCCAGTCATAACTCATCTGGTGCGACCATAAGTCTCGAACAAGACCTTAATAGCTTAGAATTAACCAAAATAGATTAGAAATTAGACAAAAACATTTACAAAATGTTATACGACAATAATTTAATCGAAATGTCTCTACGACTCAATAGATCAGAGCCAATATTCCGAACCATAACAGAACTACCCGGAATTGGAAGAAGACCTCGAACCAGAGACGACATACGACAAAGTAGAAATTTGCCATATAGCTATATGATAGTTAGGCAAAAACCAGAACAAACTTTTATATTTAGAATACTACTGGCAATGAATTTAGATTTTCATTTGCAAACATAAAACCTTGAAGTTAATCTTCAAAATCATTTCAGGCGCTAAACAAAATTATTAATATACAATAACGATTGATAAAAAGATCTAAGATCGTTTTCCTAAAACTCTGCAGTAATATACAAAACATGTTTGAAAAGTATTTATTGAAAAATAAAAAATAAAAATTAGTAGCATGACAATAAATGGTTAGTAATCATAAATCATCCTGTTGTTCCAGCTCCATCACCTAAAACATAACAGCAATCATAAACCCACTAATATCATCAAAACACTAAATCTTTCCTTTGCACACATTTAAAATTTTATTAAAACTTAAATTCACTTAATTTTAAAACCAGATCATCAAGGCTTATCCTTGGATCTTAAATCATTTTCTACTTAATTAAATTTCAAATCTGATTATCAAGGCTTATCCTTGGATCAAACAGAACAACTTTGTTCTCCCCC